AAGAAACCATCGGAAGTGATTCCACATTCGGTGTCGACTCTTTGATTTGTTGGGCCGCAGAAGGCCCCTCCCTCATTTTGGGGCGTCGCCACGCCATGATGTGTCATGCTACACGTTAATATCAACACCATGCTATGCCATGTAATGCTACGCCATGCTGCGACATCCGATTGTGCGAATCGGGCGGAGATCTGCGCCATGGTCAGGGATGGGAGGGGGGGGTAGGACGTCCGATATGACGCGAGCGCACCTAGCTTGGTCTCTCCCCTCCCGCCACTCCCTCTGCATCCTGCCCCTCCGGTCTCCCTCGCTCCTCTCTCCTGCCAAAGGGGCGGGGGGGTCGTGCGCCCTCGCCTGGGGCTCCCCTGCGCGTAAAGCTGGGCACCGAGACCTTTGGGGAGCACGACATGAGCAAGCTCCGCTCCATCCCGATGGCGAACATGCCGCCAGAGGCCTCAAGAACCGCCTAGCAGCACAGATATCATAATCGTCGCCGTCGCCGTCGTCACCGTCATCACCATCGTTGCAGACGTCGTCTCCGTCGTCACGGCGCCCCCGATTTGCCCAGGTCGGTCAATCCAGGGCCCAGGGTCGAATTGAAAAGGAGATGGGGGGGGTGAGGGAGGTTGGGGGGTTGAGGGGGGGATGGAGGAGAAGGGGAAGGGTCAAGGGGGGGGTGAGGAGAAGGGCCAAGGGGGGGTTGAGGAGCGAGGGCCAAGGGGGGCGGAGGGGAAGGGGCAGGGCCAAGGGGGGGTTGAGGAGCGAGGGGGAAGGGCCAAGCCAGCGGCGCTCGCGTCATATCTGAGATCCTCTCCCCTCCCTCCCAACCCTTCCCAATGCGCCGACTTGTCTCCATCCGCGGACGCGTATCATGGCCGACCTGGAATTCCAAGGAGGCTCATCGTGCCAGGAGAGGACGAGGAGGAGGAGGCGGTGGTGGCGGGTGAACAGGATGACAAGCAGGAGGAAAAGTGAAAGGATGAGGAAGGAGGAGGAGGAGGAGGACGACGACGGCGTTGACGATGACGAACAGCAGCAGCATGAAGAGGAAAAGAGGGAGGATGAGGAGGGAGGAGGAGCAGGAGCAGGAGGAGGACGAGGGGGATGGCAGGTCAGAGGGGACGTTGCCCTCGCTCCACCTCCTGGCGGGCCGCAGACGCGTGGCGCCGGCGACGTCGGCGGGACGCGACGGGGCACCCGTCGCAGCGCGCGCGCAGCAGCAGGAGGATGGACGACAAGTAGCAGCAGCTGGAACCAGAGTGGAATGACACGGAAGGAGCAGGAGGGCAGGGGAAGCCGGAGGAGCGGAAAGGAGGCCACGCTGGGGCGAGAGCGCCATCGTGAGTGACGGGAGCGGAATACCGATCCGAAATTGAGGCCCTCGTTGCAGCGGGAGCACGATGATCAAACCCCGAAGACAATCGGATTGCGAAGGACCATAGGCAATATAATGTAAGTCTAATTCTATGCCTAAGAAACAAAACGTCGAGATCGAGAGGGCGTAGCATCTTCTGGACAGAGTCAGCGAAGAGCGGAGAGTCGTATTAATAACGTGTAGTTGTAGAGGGGTATGGGGTGACAGGGAGGGGAAGGTGGTAGAGGAGGGGAGGACGGAATACAAGAGAGGGAGAGATGGGAGAGTCAGTTAGCTGCGTTCGCTCCATATCTGACACTCTACCCCATCCAGCCCATCCCTTCCCCTTGCGCTCAATGATTTTGTATCTGCCGGCTGGGGTGTCCTAGATGACGCTGATCCACTGGATGACCCGATATCTGTGACGCGCAATCAGAAATGGGGGGGCTGCACATGGATGGCGAACGTGTAGCAGGTGAGCAGGAGGAAAAGCGGGAAGACGAGAAGGGAGGAGGAGGAGGAGGAGGAGCAGCAGCAGGAGAAACGGGAGGAGCAGGTGGAGCAGGAGGACTGGGGGGAAGGCGGAGGAGGGAAAGGGAGGGGGACGGCACTGACGAGAGGCGAGTCGGATCCAGAAGTCTGGCCCGCGCCGTGGCGAGAGCGCAGATCCGAACGGTATACAGTCGGGGCCCTGAAGAAGGAACCCTTTTCGTTGGGGAGGGGCTCGGTGTTCCTTGATAGTTCTGCAGTTTGCCATTTGTTTTCCTGAGGTTTTCCATTGGAAATCGAAGCTCAACTTATCGGAGGAAGGGGCCCCGTTCCGTATTTAGGGTTCCTTAGGTCAACGCTCCGGCTGTACACGCGGAGACGGTCTTGGAATGGGGCCAGCGTCGCCAGCGTTTGAAGTATCGGGAACGCTTCGGCTGAAAAAGCACGGGGGAAACAGTGCTTGCATCCTTGAGTGTGAGTTCGCCAGGATAGCGTAGCGGGAGGGAGCGTACAAGACAGCATCAGTGGAGAAGGGAGGGAACGCCATCGGCGTAAAAAGCGCTCACCAAGCGGAGAAACCCACGCCTTTGCGTTCAGACCCCCCGCGCTCCCGATGTTATTCGTGGAAACGGGTGAGTGCGTGGTGTTGGTTTATGGGTGTTTATCATGTCGACGTCTGCAGTCATACAACGGACGCAAAACACAACACTGAAATTACATGTGGGGTTCGGGGTGTCCCCGTCGACGCAACATCTTCGGATGGGCGACTTTTTTCGCCAGCAGCGGGAGTCATCATATCTCTTCCATGTGGAGGTAAGGAAGGGAGCAACGCATCTCAAAGACTGCAGCAAACAAGATGACAGAGGGGCAGGGCGGGAAGAAGCCCAGAGGGAGCCAGGCATGCAGGCAGCCCCCCCCTCCCTTCTCTTACCATCTCCTGCCCCTCCTCCTTCTCTCCCCTCCTCCTCCTCCTCCTCCTCCTCCTCCTCCTCCTCCTCCTCCTCCTGCTCCTCCTGCTCCTCCTCCTCCTCCTCCTCCTCCTCCAGAGGGGAAGGGAGGGCAGCCCCCGAGGCCGCCGTCGGGACGCAGATGTCCGTGCCGATGCCCGCGGGCGGGTCGGTGGCCGCCACCGTCGTGCAGATCAACGGGGTGGACAAGCTGGGGGAGACGGGGGCAGCCCGCGGCGGCTGCGCGTGCGGGCGAGGGGCTGGCCTGGAGGAGGAGGAGGAGGAGGAGGAGGAGGAGGAGGAGGAGGAGGAGGAGGAGGAGGAGGAGGAGGAGGGGGAGAGGAGGAGGGGAGGGGAGAGGAGAAGGGGGGGGAGGAGGAGGAGGAGGAGGAGGAGGAGGAGGAGGAGGAGGAGGAGGAGGAGGAGGAGGAGGACTGTCGGAAGCTTGGCATCGCTCGGACGCGTGCATTTTTGTCTCGGCGGGGGCCCTCGAGGAGCATATATTGGGCCGTTTTTTTGCGACAAAAACCTTGCACGCAACCGAGCAATGCACGGGGAATGGACGCCCGAGCGATGGCAGGGAACTGCACCAGCGGCGCCTCGCCGAGAGCGCATCCAGGGATGCCGGAGGCTTCCCGAGGCGGCCGCTGGAGACCAGAGAGCCAGAGGAGAGAGCCAGCGTCGGCTGCGCGTGAGCGTAGCCTTTTCGCCGGAGTGGCCTCTGGTGCGGGCCCAAAGGGGTCCCCAAGTCTGAAGGGACCCTGGGACACAAATATAAATACACACGAATAAAAAGATTCCCCATATTTTCCCATATGTTCTGGGTTTTTGTCTTCCCGCCCAATTCCCATATTTTCCCACATTTTCTTGGGAATCGACGATTCATTGTGTCTGTGTGTTTTTTTTTCCCTCCTGAAAGTCGCCAGCTGGCGCGCCTGGGTTCGCCCTCCTCTTGCCACCCCTCTTCGCAGCCCCCGGAGGCCGCGCGCGAAAGGGCGCCTCGTGCCTGAGGTCACTCCTGCGTGGCGCCGCGCCAGCGTTCGGGGTGCGAGGCGTTGGGGCGTTCTCCTGTCTTTCCTGGCCTGCGGGAGAGGCTCCTCGTGGCCGCGGCCCGCTCATCCGACTCGACACCCTGGCAGGGCTCATTTCGACGCCGCCGATTCGATTCGATTCGATTTCGAGGGGTTCCGATTCCGATTCGATTCGATGTCGGATTCCGATTTGGGATCCGATTTCTCACTGGAGGCCTACTTGCCTGCCGATTTCCGCCGATCCGACTTTTCCCGACTCGGCTGCCGATTTCCGCCGATCCGATTCATTTCGAACGTCGATCCGACTTATCGATTCGATTCTGGGGGCGCCTGCCCTGGCCAGAGCGCGCCCCACGGGAGGTCCAGCTCTGAGCTCCCAGCCCAGTCCCGGGCATTTGGTGTTAGGTCGGGCCTGTCCCCCTACAGGGGGATTTTCGACGAAAAATAAAACACACCCCCAAAATAAGCAAAAATAGTCAAAAATAGTCAGGGGACTATTTTTGAGTATTTTTTTTTGTTGACAATGTTTGAATATTTTTGGGGTATGTTTTATTAGTCGTCGAAAATCCCCCAGTAGGGGGACACGCCCGACATGAATTTGGTGGCAAATCGACACGGCCGTTTTTTTTGCCATCCTCTGGAGGCGAGATCCGGGCCCTGGTACCATCAGAAACAGCTGGGGATGAAAAGCAGGCCCCACGGGAGGGATCTGGACGCCAGGCGTATGAGGACGGCTCCTCCCTTTTGCTCCTTCCCTTCTCTGCCTCCCCCCTCCTCAAGCTGGCGTGCCAGGTTTGGGCGTTGTCGGTCGGTGGGCGCGAGAAGCTTGGATGTTTCAGGGCGTCGGAGTCTCAACCCCGAGGGACGCAGCACGTGACACTGAGGGATGGCGGTTCTGCGCTCAACTGCGACGCGATGATCTTCAGCCACATTAAGGGGTAGCTACTCAATACAGCCTACAATGTGCATGGGGGGAACGGTGAAACGATATCAGCGCAAGAAATGGCAGTTGATTGCATTGCCCGGCGCACAAAAAAAACGCTGATTGGGAACATCCAGCAGCAACACAGCGCTGACACACCATAGGGCGATGCATTGGGGATGGAAGCGAAACAGCTGTACAGACCAAAGGTGTGCAATCTGCAATTTGGGTTTTGGTTTGGTGAGAAGATTTCCGGAAGAATGGAGCTTACAATGGGCAGTGCATTGAGAGGATACGACCAAAAGATACAGAACAGAAGTGGCAGAGCAGCACGAAAGACCCTCATGGGCACGCACATGGGGATTCAAACTACATGCGTGGGAGGTCCTGGCAACACGTATTTTGGAAAGAACGGGGAAAGCAAGATATGCCGCATCATAATATAAGGTGGAGCAGCAACAGCGGTAAGGGAAAGTCGCGCACTGCCAGTAGCGGGGAGGAGATTGTAAACAGTACGAGGTCGAGAGCAGAAAGGTCACATCACGATTGCCATTCAATTCGAACATATGAGGACAAAGACTACCAGCAAGAGTGGACAGAGATGGCCCTGTGAAACGTTCGGGACATGGGGCAACGAGGGAGGACCGACCCCAACGAGTAGAAGAATCAAGTGGGCATCGCCGAGGAGGTTTGGCAGATCACAAGGACAGACATACGCCAGACGGTACGTGGGATACTTCGCGAAAAAAAGATTGCTGAATTAATGGAGGAGGTACATCCACAAAGCAATAATGAGCAACCAGAGAGGATGGAAAGTGCAGCGGCCTAGAGAATTCATCTACTCGATCAAAACGGCAACTACGAGAACGGCGCAGAGCGACTGTTAAATAATGGGAAGTTTCAACGTAAGCCGACGGAGACCACAGCCACTGGAGATGGAAAGAGAAATACGGGAGAGAAGGAGAGTGAAGGAGGTCAAATCTTCAGAAGTTCGCGCCTTCGTTGTCATATCGGCGACGCCAGCAGAGGACCACAAAAGAGACGCGACGATTCACGCAGGATGAACATGGAAGCACAATAGTGGAGCAGGGAGTTGGCAAAACATGGGAAAGGATGGCAGGCCCAAGGCAAACGCGCTGGACTACGACAGTTCCAGGAAAGTGCGCTGCGAGGGACTGGGCAATGACGGCGAGGGCGACCTGGGGGCATTCGACGCGGATGCGACAGAGGACGCCCGGCTCGATCGACGCGCAGTTGTAAGAGAGCGCAAAAGAACGCGCAACATAGGATGTTCTCTTGAAATTCTGCACAATCCGAGCGGCTGAGAGAGGACATTGCGTACCCGAGCGGGGAGAGCAACGGTGATTCTGCCGGCATGAGCCCGCGCGATGTTTCTTTCAGCTTGGCCAGGGATGCCCCCCTGCTTCTCCCCTTGACCCCCATCCTGCACTCACCTCCTTTATTCCTCATCCTCCTGCTTCCTCCTCCTGCCCCTCCCCCCTCGTCTTCTTCATCCTCCTTCTGCTCCTCCTCCTTCCCCCCCCCATCCTCGTCCTTTCCATCCCCCCCCCTCCTCCTCCTCCTCCGCGCCCCCCTCTTCCCCCCCCCCCATCCCGCCCGTTCTGCTCGCGCGCCTCTCCTTTCTCCCGGCCCGGGCGCGCGCGGCGACGCTCCTCGGCGCCCTCGCCGCCGCAGCCGGCGAGCGCGCGTTCTCCGACGGCCGGGTCGCGAAGCCGCCGGGGCAGCCCCGCGGGCCAGGCCGCCGGGGCATCCCCGCGGGCCGCTGGGGCGCGGTAGCGCGCCGTCGGCGCGACCGCGGGGGCCCCGAGCTGGGCGCCGCCGCGCCCGGGCGGGAGACAGCGCCAAGCTTAGCTCTTTCGCGAGTTGCTCCGCTTCAGCCCTGAAGTCCATTGCCCTCTCGTCGAACTCCCACGTCGCATTCCGCGCGGGCGCTGGCGGCCCGCGGCCCGAGGAAATTCGCGGGGGCGGCCGCGGGGCCAGCGCTCTCCGCGCGCGCGCGCGGCGCGGGGGAGATGTCGTAGAGGAGCAGCCACCCGCTGCTCATCCGACGCCCGCGCGGCCAGCGTCCCCATCCCTGGCGCAGTCGACGGCGACCCCCTGGCGCAGCGTCTCGCCCTGCGACGGCGCGGATGGGGCCCCCGCCCGAGATTTTCCAGCGCCGCAGTCACAGACGAGGCCCGCGTTCGAAACCTTCTCCAGATTCAGGCATGAGGGGCTGTAGAGCGACGGTCGCAGTCTCCGGATGGCCCGCTCAGGTTCGAAAGTGGAGACGGGAGCTCCAGAAAGAGGGGTTCCCGCGTGAGACTTCTTCGCGGTTTTTCCCGCAGGGCGCCCTCGCTCGAAACTTCCCCCAGATTCAGGCCCGCGGAGCCAAAATGTGACGACGGTTACAGGTTGCAGATGACCCGCTCGAATTCGAACGCGCACGACGAGCCCCGCGGGGAGAGGCCCCCGCTCGGGGCATTCTTGCGATTCGCCCCCGGGGCGCCCCCGCTCGAGATTTCTTCCGGATTCAGTCGGGCCAGTGGGGCCCAGAAATTACGACGGTTATGCGCAGGTTCCAGGTGGGCCGTTCGGATTCTAGCGGCGGGGGGCCCGTTGGGGAGGGGCCCCCGCTCGAGGCTTCTTCGCGATTCACTTGCAGCCGAGATTCCCGACCGAGCGGTCTTCAAGATGACTGCGTCAGTGCGCGTGTGCGATGGCAGTTTCAGATGGCCCTGTTGGAATGATGATCGCGACGATGGCGGGGGCGACGGCGCTGACGAGTGATGGCGATGTTGGGGGGTACTGAATGGATGCGCAGGGTGCGCGAGCGCGTTAGCGAGCGCGTGACTGCGCGCGATGCGATGATGATGGTGCTGATGACGATGGGGGTGGACACGGTGTAAAAGCGAATGAGTAAGTGGGCGGCCGAGCGAGTGGGCGAGCGACGACGATGGCGGCGGCGAGGCGGTGGCGAGAGGAGGCAAGGGGCAGCGGGCCCCAGCGCGGGGGCGCGCAGACAAACGAGACGCTCGCGTTGGACGCGGGGGGGAAAACGAAGGATCATGGAGGCAGATGAGAAAGACGAGATTCCAAAAACCGTGAAAGGGCGGCAGCCATTTCAAACATTAGACGAATGCCCGGGCAGGCGCCAGGGGCGGGCCCGCAGCGAGAGCCAGCCGAACCAGCTCGAGCAGATTTGCTTTCAAGCGACAAAGAGTAAGCCTGGGATCAAAGCCCGCACGCAAAGCATAAGCACGAGCGTGACAAATGCGGGAGATGCGCGGTGCCAGCGCGAAGCAGCGAAGCGGCGTCAGTTGATTGTTCGAGAGCGGCGTATTAATGCAGCGCGGACAAGAGCAATTTAAAGGAAGGCACATTGCGTCGGGGGGCCCGCGTTATCTTTGCGGATGGTCCACTGACTTTCGCAGCAGCACATTTGAGAGGGCGCCAGACATGGGCGGACTGCGCCGGGCCCGCGATGGATCGGCATGAAAATGCAGACAGGGCGCGTTGATTGCGACAGCCGGCTGCAGATAGTGAGGACAAGGCCTCGGACGCAGTCGCGCCGCGGCCCACTTCGATCGCGCCAGCGCGATCGGGCGCGCGGCCAATGAGGAGCTGGAAAGGGTTGCGTGGGCTCCAAGTCTGGAAACGGATGCGCCGCGCGCGATGGGCACCAGTGAACGCGGAGGTGGGCCCGACGCCGCAAAGTGGAGGTCAAATTGGATGTCGCCAAGCGCGCGACAGGTTCCAACGACCGCCGCGCGCCCCGGGTCGAGAGGCGGGGCCGGCGCGCGCAGGAGAAGGCCACCGCGCGATCGAGGCCGGACGAGGAACGAGAAAGAGGGGGCCGAAACGACGAGCGGGGGGCGGGGCACTGGCGTCGCCGCGCCCATGGGCGGCGCGACGAGAACGCGCTCGCGGCCGGGCATTCCGAGATTGGGGGGGCAGCTGGCAAGGAGAACGACGCCGCCGGCGGGTTTGGAGATGACGCGCGGCACCGCGGCGCCGGCAAGACGAACCACCTGGCCGGCCCGCGAGGAGCGGGGGCGCAGGCTACAACGGAACGGACGCAGCAGACGAGGACAAGGGCGAGGCGCAGGGAAAGGCGAGGACGCCGGGATCTTCCACGGCAGCGGACGGAAGCGCTGCAGATAGGGAGTCGGGTAGACGCCGCGCGTCGCGCAGGGGTGGGCGGAGGGGCATTCTGGAGAGCAACAAACAGGACGCCGCTCGCCGTTGTTTCAAGCTCCGGACCAGGGCGCCGCCCCCTCGTGATCGGCGGCGGCGATCCTGGAAACAACGCGCAGCGAATGTTCGAGCGCGATTATCCCGGGGTCGATTCGGAGATTGGGGGGGGGGAAGCGCACTTGGAGAACGCTGTCAGGGAAACGGATGCCGCGCCGGGCCGCGAGGAGCTGGAACGCGGGAACATCCGCGACGTCGACCCAGGGTTCCCCCGCGCGCGGGGCGAACGGACATCGAGACTGGGCGGGGGTGGCGAGCGCGACAGAACGAGTTCCAGCAGCTAGCTGCGGCAATCTGTTGATGGAGGATGCGGAGTGGGCACGTCGACTCATGGGCTTCAGAGAGTCTTTCAACGCGGCGCGCCACGGGCAAAGCCGGCGGAAGCAGATTGGAGACTGCTGGCGCACATCAGTGGGCAATTCTGCGAATGGCATCTTCGCGATAGCAGAGGCTGGGCGCCGTTCGCCGGCGGCTCCGAGGAAACTGATGAGCCCATCGGGTCAAGGTTTAAGCAACCATGGAACATTTGCAAAGACGAGCTGAACCGGAAGGGGGCGGAGGGCCACGCGGATGAGCCGCTCACACGCGCGGCGAGGAACTCAGGAAAAGCAAGGAGGAGCGCGGGAAGACGCGCAACGCGCAACGAGCACTGGCAGCACGTCAATAACAAGCGCGTTGCTCGCATCGACGAGCCGGCGCCCATGGCGTCAGACAACGTCGCCAGGCGGAGCAGCAGTCGATCGCGCAATGGCAGCAGCGCCAATCCACCATCAAACGCGCCGCGTTCTTAGCGCAGCCACGTTGCTCGAGGTCTCGAGGGGCCCCAGGGGCGCGCGATCGCCTGCCGCGGCGGCCCCGGGGGCTCACATTGCCAAGCGCGGCGCTGCCGGCGTGGGGGGCGCCCGTGAGAGGCGCGGGCGCAGCGGCAGGAGCGAGAGAACGCGGCCAGAGGGGGGGCAGACGCAAGGGCGGCAAAAGCGGATATCGCCTCGACGGCCAGCCCGCGGAGAGCATCGCTAGCCCGCGCTGCCCCGCGACGCCCGAGGCCGAGAGCCGGCGGCGGCTGCGCCCGATTTCCGGCCGCGCCCGCCCGCGGCCCAGAGCGCGAAAGCTCAATGTTTACCAGCCAATCGGGACCGAACCCGCCGCGCCTCTGGAGAGTGTCGAGGGCTGCGGTCCGCGGCAGCCCCTGGACGGGCGCGCGTTGAGTTCCTTGTTGGGCGCGGGCAGAAGCGAGATGAACCGACGTATGGCAGCGCGTCCGCAGGGCTTGAGGCTGGTGATTCCGTCGAAGGTAATAGCGCGCGCGAGCTCGGCGGCTTTCATTGCCGGCGTTGCCAGACAGGGAATTGCAGGCCCGCGCCCGCCCCTCCGGGCCTGGTCCCGTTCCGAACAAACACTGCTTCCCATTTAAGCATTTAGTGCGGTGTGCCTTTGGAAGCCTCGCGATGGCTCGGCGCTGATCGGGGATTCCTTGCAGCGCGAGGCGGTGCGAGCATCGCGCGGGCGCGTTGGCGGGTGATCCCATTATCTGCTTGGCGCGACTTGTATTTTTGTGATTCTCGTTTTGCGCGTGCAATGTGCCCGGCGTGGCCTCTGTGCCTCGCGCGCCTGGCGCCCCGCTGGCTTGCCTGGCGCGCGCGCGCGGCGCGCGCGCTTGCCGCGGGTAGCCTTCGATGTCTTTTTGGTTTTGTTCCCTGCCCTCCCGCATTTTAGGTCATCGCTTTGAATTCGCGGCGCTTCGCGCCACATCCTTTCTTTTCTACTATCTCCCCTTCTCCTCGTCCTCCTCTTCCATGTCTTCTTCCTCCCCGCTTCGTTTCCTCATCGTCCATCCCCTTCCATTTTGCGCGGTGGGCTTTCGGTTTGTAGCCGCGCCGAGGCAATTTCAGCGCGCCCTTCGTGCCGCGCGCTGTTCGTTGTCCCGATACGGCTTTTCATTAAAAGTCCCTGTGGCGCAAATCGCATGCCGATG